AGGTCCAGCACAAGGGGCGGTACCTGTGCCAACCACAAAATGCCCCCTACCGGTTCCCGCCCCTTCCAGGCTCGGCAAAGCTTGGCGCGCAGGGCGTATTTAGGCTCGGCATCAATAGCTGGGCCAAGTACTGGTGGTTTAATCCATTGTCCCCTCCGCACCAAACAAAAAAGCCGGCGCAGGCCCCTCTTTAGACTGGCAGCCGTTTCGCTCCGGTATGGCGACCCCCGAAACTTGCAGCTAATGCATGTTCAGGTCCAAGAGAAACGTCTGGGAAAAGCACTGGTGCTACTTCCACTACAGGAGCAACCAAATTCATCCGATCCGACTAGAAATGTTTCTACTCTATTTTTTTCCACAGCTGATAGCTGGGCCAAGTACTGATGGTTTAAAATGTCAAAGGCGAAGAAAAAACACGTTCCCACCAGATGGACTGCTTTGTCGATAAGAAAGCTCTCTCTACCAGATGCTAAGGATTATCAGCGCAAAAAAAAAAAAAAAAAAAAAAAAAAACTCTGACCGTAAGAAAGCTCTCTACCAGATGCTAAAGATTATCAGCGCATTAAAAATAAATAAATAAATAAATCGCAACTGGAACACATTAGAAACTGAAAACCTTGACTCCGTTGACTGCGCAGTAGTTTGCCCTTTCCTTTTCTAATCATGCAATATCTTTATTATACAAGCCGGGGACCACACCAGGTGCCTCTCACAATACTCTGCTCTGGCCAATGCCCGGGACAAATTGAGGCATAACCGGTGCCCCGTCCATCAGCCGGGGGAAAGGTCCCACTTGCACGGATTAAGAGATTCTGGCCGTTGACCTTTGCTATCTACGGTCAATATCGCTTAATTTGTGTAAGTGGGACCTAGCCCCGGACCACTATGAACCAAGAGAGAGAGAGCCTGGGAAAAGCCAAAAAACCGGAAAAAAACACCGTTTTTAATCCCGTTTTGCTGTTACTTATGTCCAAAACTCAGAATCAGCAGCAAATTCCCTCTATGGAGTGCTTTAAAAAAAAAAGAAAAAAAAAGGGAAGATAAACACACAGGTGCTCCATGACCGGCATGGGTCAGCAGCCTGAAAAATACCCCCAAGATGTCAAAGAAGGGGGGGGGGGGGGGGGGGGGGGGGGGGGGGGGGAAGGGGTTCCATTGGCCTTGGCGGCCCACATCTTCAACCACCAGTATGTCTGAGACCCTTTTAATTCCAATGCCAATTTCTGCCACGTGGCACATGTCAAACAAGAGAAGATAAAACCAGGGCACAGTTCTTGACTCGGCTCGCGTCTTTCTGCTGCACCACCACGGCAGTCCCCACCCTCAAGGATGGGGCTTTCTTACTTTTTTTTTTTTATTTTTTTTGCCCAAGGCTCAAATTATGCAATTGAACACAAAATGAGCCCACGCCTCTTCCCACTACGGCTGGAAGATCCTCAGCCACTGCTCCCATGGAGACAGCTTCCCTATTCGATACGGATCTAGCATGGGCAAGGGGCAGTGATTGCTTCCCAAATAAGGAAGAAGGATTGACGCCGCTGCGTGCGAAATCATGCTCTCCCCTCCTCAGCTTCCCTGAAAATCTACTTGGACCGTTCTGCACCACATGCATCGAGGTGGGAGTCGTAGCAGGGCAAAAGCGTCTATAAATAAATCAAAATCCAAGTCAAACCCCGTAGAGTACCCCTGGACAAGGGTAACTTGTTCTCCGTTGTTACGATCTCGAGTTCACAAAGAGCGTGTCTCCCTACCGTCTTCACCTGAATAGAACGCCCGGTCATTATAGCTGTGCATTTGGCCCAACTTTCAGTCCAGATGCTGTGATAATGACCACGCGCGTTCTATTCGGGTGAAGACGGTAGTGTACCCGTGGTTAACACAATCCCTTATCCAACGGTGCGACACATGGCAGAACCCCTGCGCCTGCACCTGGTCATCAGCCGAGGAGAAATCCACGTCCAAACCAAAGCACCCCTTTCCTTTCAGATTGCTCTAACTGATCAGATAAGGAGAAAGCAAATGATTTTTCTGATGAAATCAGAATCGAAACCCATCAACCAAGACTAAACTATAAAATCGAAGCACACATAGGCCGCATTGGAACACACAACGGCCCTGGGGGGATGTACCGCCAGATCGACTTTTCATCTACGGTCGGAATTGCAGAATCTGGCAGCGAGGGAATGCAGAGAGGGAATGCAGAGCATATGTGCAAACAGTGCACACGGTCCAAACTCGGCCCAGGTGCAGACAGCTGTCTGCACCTGGTCATCACAGCTGCAGGCCTAGAACTTGCAAGTTTTCCAAGGTGGTATTTTTTATATTTGCACTGCTTGCGCATATGCTCTGCATTCCCTCTCTCTCTCTCTCTCTCTCTGTCTCTCTCTCTCTCTTCATTATTTCCATCTGTTTTCTATAACTAGGATGTTCTTTCAAATTGCATGTCGTACTGATTGGGACCTTTTTTTTTTTTTTTTTTTTTTGCATACCATACTGATTCCATTTTTTCCTCTCTTCTTTTCTTGGCTTTGTTTGTTTTTCCCTTTTTTTTTCATTTGAATGTCCTACTGATGAGGTGAATCGTCATACAGTTGGTAAATATGGATGGTGGGAAATTCGCAAAATTCTGCAGGGATGGAGGGTTGCTGGACAAGCAGTTCACAGCCACGGTGAGTGCCAAATGCCCACACTTCTCCCTGAGGGGGGTGGGGGGGGGCTATTCTGGGGGGGGGGCTATTCTGTGGACCCTATGGAATCTCAGGAATTCGGCAAAATATAGAGGGGGGAGAAACTTACCCACCCGATGGGGCGTGCAGAGGGGTGAAATATGCTGTAAAGCTGATGATTTCCACAGATTGGTCGCTGACAGTACAGAACAGCGGGTTTCAGCCAAGAGCGATCAGGAGATACCTGGCTCGTTGGTACCGCTGTCGGGACCTGGTGACGGTGCCGAGTCTGCAGACACAGCATCATAAATTGCCAAAAAAAAAAAACAAAAAAAAAACTGCCCACTTTAATGTTTTCAGGGTTCCTCCTTCATCGGAGGCATCCGCTCTTACCTACACTACTGTGTCAAATATCTGTGCTCCAGTTGATGGCCTCAGGAGCTTCTGTGGTTTCTTTCAAGTTTTTCCCTCTTCGTTGGACTAGTGCATTTTTGCATGCATTGTTTTGTCTTCCTTCATTACAGTACCTTTTTTTCTTTTTTTTTTTTATAACGGATTGCTGTGTTTCCTTACTGTTCTTAGATTTTGGTAACATTGAGTTGAACCGACCAAATGCCCAGACTTCACCCACAAAAACCAAAAAAAAAAAGGAAGTCATTCAGCCCGGAACCTGGGCCCCGGATTATCATTTCTTAAAATCTGCAAACCTACCCTCTCACAGTCCACCTTGATGATGTTCGCAAGAAAAAAGAAAAGAAAAGAAAACAAAAGAAAAGAAAAGATAATTTCTTAAAATCTGCAAACCTACCCTCTCACAGTCCACCTTGATGATGTTCGCAGGAAAAGAGAAAAGAAAAGAAAAGAAAAGAAAAGAAAAAAAGAAAAGAAAAGAAAAGAAAAGAAAAGAAAAAAAACTGCTCTCAAACATTTTCTTGTTTTCTCTCGGGTTTTTTTTTTTTTTTTTTTTTTTCTCCTGAGACGAAGGAGGGCCCCAGTCTATTGGCGGCGGGCTGCACCTGGGCCCGGTAAAACAAACAAACAAACAAACAAACAAACAGATCTTTGCAATCTGCGGTCAGAAATGAAGGAAATCCGGAGACAGTCAGAAGCCAATTACCTGTATCTCTCATTTCTGACCGTAGATTCCAAAGATCGACAGTCAAAAGCGGCGCATATGGGCCCAAGTGGGACTTGGCTCCGGGTCCTGCTTCCCATTTGAACTCAGCACACTTGCCTGTTCCATTTGCTCGATTTGCGACCAGCGACCCCTTTTTTTATGCCACACAATTCTGATGGACCTATAATCCCAAATTCCCTAAGAGGCCGATCGTACAGATTTGCCGAAGTCCTCAATGTACCCGCGGGGCAAAGGAATTTGCGGCCTGTGTACCCACGGGGCAACGGAATTTGCGATCACCTCTCGAGGTGCCTGCAAATCTGCAAATGCCCTATTTGCCTTCTAAGCTATTCTACCGTTAACCCCCGTTGACGTTTCCCCTGAACGGGTTCGTTTTTCAACGCTACCCCACTCTGCCATACCCTCCCGGAATCGTTTACGTATATTTGGGGAATCTTTTTAAATAGAAAGAATATCCTTATACTATGTTAATGTCAGTTAGTGTCAATTGAGTTAAGTTTACTATTTACTGTCGTTAATTTGAACTTAGGGATTTGACCCGCCCGGTTTCGCACGAAAACGTCAATTTGAAAAGATTACTATTTACTATTTACTATTTACCTAGGGATTTGACCCGCCCAGATCACTTCCCTTCCCGTCCCGCGCTCTCTTCAATTCCCTAATCTTAACTTAGGGAATTGAGTTAAGATTACTATTTAGTATTTACTATTTTCGCGCTTTTTTTTTACGTCACTCTCTCTGAGCTCTAGTTCCAAGTTCGAACTTTGCTTCGTACATCTTGGCCACCGAGTGACGTAAAAAAAAAGCGCAAAAATAGTAAATAGTAATTACGATACGAAACGGCGTCTGTCCTGTGCGCCTCAGAACAGCTGGTTCTTAGGGATTTGACCCGCCCGGTTTCGCACGAAAACGTCTACCCAGATCACTTCCCTTCCCGTCCCGCGCTCTTGTCAATTCCCTATTCCCGCGCTCTCGTCAATTCCCTATTCTTAACTTAGGGAATTGAGTTAAGATTACTATTTACTATTTTTGAGCTCTTTTTTAACGTCACTCGCTCTGAGCTCTAGTTCCAAGTTTGAACTTTGTTGCGTACATCTTGGCCAGCGAGTGAAGTAAAAGAAAAGCGCAAAAATAGTAAATAGTAATTACGATATGAAACGGCGTCTGTCCTGTGCGCCTCGGAGCCGCTGGTTCTTTTTTGTATAGATTTTGTTTGAGGCCGCAACCACTGATTGACAAATATTAATACCGACAGAATATAGCGAGCGACGACAAATATCGCTATGGAATGGAGTGCTTTTTTCTTTTTGCATCTGTTGCACTGAAAGTAGTAAAGTACCGATGGTAGCAGCAGTTCATATTTGATTACCTGAAGCTCATGTAGAATCAGCTACCGCAGGATCTGTTAACTTAGCGGGAAAATTCTCTTAAAATTCGCAAATAACTTGAAATAAGTTCGCTTCAACGTGGCTTTTTGTGTACCATTATGCTTTTGTTATGTTCATCGGGTTAAAACCATATTCATAAGTTATAACACCATGGTAGCTGTCCCCACTTCCTGCATGATCTTCTGCCTGCAGACTGTCTGTACAAGCTTTCTCCTATGCTAACCCTCTACGTCCGAGTTCGTTGCCATTTGACAGAAGCGACAGACCAAACAAAAAAATCGATGTTGCGATTACTAAATGGACGGTGGGATGTGTGTTTTTGCTTGCCTGAACGAACGGATTATGCGATGGAATTTCTACTCTAGGCCGTGGACCTCATCTTCTCGAAAGTGAAGCCTAAGGGAGATCGCAAGATCAACTACGACGAGTTCGTGCAAGCGCTGGAGCTCATCGCCGAGGCCAAAGGGATTAGCATGGATGATCTGAAGCATCAAATTATGGGTGCGGGAGGTCCATCGTCCAGCGGAACGGTGAGTTGGGGGGGCAACAGGGTTGACGACAGGCCATTCACAATTTCCTTGTTTGAAATAAATTAACTATGACAGGCCATCTACAATTTCCGAGTATGAAATAAATTAACTATGTTCCACTCAAAGCCTCACAATGAGCAATCCAGAGGACAATCTTCTTCTTAGAGTCAATCGTGCATGGAATTGCATGTGTATTTGTGGGTGTTGGTGTGTGTGTTGTCATATTCACTATACACTAAAAAAAAGCCCCGACTGTCACAAACTGTTTCGTGTGTGTGTGTGTGTGTGTTGTGTGTGTGTGTGTGTGTGTGTGTGTGTGTGTGTGTGTGTGTGTGTGTGTGTGTGTGTCTGTGCGAGTGTGCCTGTGTCTGCACGTGTCTGTGTTATGAGAGAGAATCATCACGAACGAACTCTCGGCGCATGCCTGTTGTGTATCTGTATATATTATAGGGGAGGGGAGAAGAGGGAGTTGAAAAGGAGGGCGAGGGAGAAGACAGCTGGGGGGGTGGGGAGGAGGAGAGAAGAAAAGGGAGGTTTAGGGTTTATTCGCTTCAATTAATGTTTTAGAGCGGCAAGGACAAGGGGGGGGGGGGGGGGGGGGGGGGGGGGGCAGCAGGGGGGAGGAGGGAGGGAGGGAGAGAAAGAACACGATGTGTCTTTAAGATGGTGCTTGAGAACAGACAACTGGGTTTTACATTCTTGGCGTTCGCAAAACATTTTTTTTGAAAATAATTAATGATTCTTATTGATGCAAATTCAATCATCTAGATACAAGGTGAAAAATCTATTTTCCACAGCATAAATTGATTATCAATGTGTGAAGCGAAAAGACTGTATTATCATTTTGTAATTCAATTATTTGAATTTCATGTAATATATTAATTATGAAGTACTTCAATTACAGACTTATTTTAAGTTTATTCTTTGAACTTATTCATTGAAATTTAGTATGTATTTTCATTGTATTTCTTATTTAAACTGAAAAAAAAAAAAAAACTATCCCCACCAACCCATCGTAAATTGTGTGTGCCCTTGTATGCAGGTGCCGGATGCTGTCAAGTTCCATGACGACAAATCCCTGTACACGGTGAGTAGCCGGTTTTCCTCTCCTTTGTTACGGCTACTCTGATTCTTTGGCTTCTTCCTTYTTTTTTTTTTTTTTTTTTTTTTCAATGATCTAAACAATATTCTTCTAGGAAAAATGGAAAAAGCAGCAGATTTACGGAGCAGGTTATTCCATGCGTCTCCGTAATTGTGTTGTGTTCGGACATTTTACGCCCGGTTCACCTTCCACTATCTACCTACTACTACTACTACTACTACTACTACTCCAATATTCTTCCCTTTTTTTTAATTATTCTTCCCTTTTTTTTTAATTATTCTTCACTTTTTTTTTAATTATTCTTACTTGGTAATGAACTTGCTTGCAGGGCACCCTTGCACACATAACTGCCTCTCACAATCAAGGGGATAAATGTTGGCCCCGGCCCCAGCTCCGCTGTACTGAGGGAGTAGGGTGTGGCTGCTGGTGTGTGTGTGGGGGGGGGTGGGGGGGGCGAGAAGCTGACGTAAAGACCGAGCATTCTGCCCATACTGCACCTCCCATCTGCTTCCCCAACCCCCCATCTCGTAACAGCAGCGTCTATGGCCATCGGGGCTATGTCTTGTGCAAAGAGGAGCGCAGGGTGCAGTGGGTTGCGCTTTGTGCGCCAAGTGTGATGTGCAGTTATGTGATACTATTTTCAGCTGGGTGCTAACGGCGATGCGGGGCACCATCGCGGCTGTGCGTTCTGAGATAGGCATCCCTACCTAGCCTTGGTGCTATGTGCAGTAGGCAGTCCCGTGTAGGCTGTGCAGTAGTACTCTGCAGGCTGCGTGCTATGTGCTGCAGCTACTGTCTTCCCCCGAACACAACGCACCCTTATTTTGGCTGTATCTGGCCGGAAATATAGCCTGTATACATTCATTTTTAGGGTGCGGTGTGTTCAAGGGAAGACGGTAGTACTAGGCATTACTCCCCATCGAACGCGCACAAGCGGTTTCGGTTCTGTGCACAAGCAATACAGCACACGACGAAGACGGCATGGCATGCATACGCAGGACCGAGTGTGTGCTTGCATGTGAACGCTCAAGCGCCTTCTGAGAGAATGCGTTCCAGAAAAGGGTGGTGGGGGCTGGGGGGGGGGGGGGGGGGAGTACGTGCTTGCAGGACAAAAGCGCCTATATTGCGGAATGGTATTTGCTTGCATGTTTTGTGCGCACGTCCGGACCGAGTGCTGAAAGGCAAATGGGTGCATAGTAGCGTACACAGCCCATGCTCAACTGCACCAACGTTATGGGCCTTGCATCATTCAACACACAGTTAATGAAAAACGGCGACTCATCCAAAAAAGGAAAAAGAAAAAGGATCGGATTTCGCTTTCTTTCTTAGAATCATTGAAGAAAAGAAAAAAAGAACTTAGTAAAATGATGAACAAGGTACACAGCAGCTAATGGGACTCAGTTGAAATCCCAATCCACTGACTTAGATGAGTAAAATAACTCTGAATTTACTTACGGGCGCCGGCCAGTAAATTTGACGATGATATATCTCAAGGCTGTCACATTTTGTATATCGCCGAACTGTGACAAACTGTATATATATATATATATATATATATCGTCACAAACAGAACTGCCCGGTAAACCGTAGGCAGAGAGGGAGAAGAGGACAACAAACGAGGCGCTGTGACAAACTGTTTCGTCGGAGTTTCACCGACTCATCAGGAGGCTGTATGTATATGTATATATCGTCACAAACAGAACTGCCCGGTAAAACCGTAGGCAGAGAGAGAGAAGAGGACAACAAACGAGGGGCTGTATATATCATCACAAATAGATACAAACAGAACTGCCCAGTAAACCGTAGGCAGAGAGAGAGAAGAGGACAACAAACGAGGGGCTGTGACAAACTGTTTCGTCGGAGTTTCACCGACTCATCAGGAGGCTGAACCCTCAACAGTCTGCAAAATCCCCTCACTGATTACACTGTAAATGATAATCTACCTTAACCATATATAAATATCGTCAAACAGAGCTGCCCAGTAAACCGTAGGCAGAGAGGGAGAAGAGGAAACCAAACGAGGGGCTGTGACAAACTGGGTTCAGCCACCTGATGAGTCAGTGGATGAAACTCAGACGAAACAGTTTGTCACAGCCTCTCGTTTGTTGTCCTCTTCTCCCTCTCTGCCTGCGGTTTACCAAGCAGCTCTGTTTGACTATATATCGTCACAAACAGAACTGCCCGGTAAAACCGTAGGCAGAGAGAGAGAAGAGGACAACAAACGAGGGGCTGTGACAAACTGTTTCGTCGTATATATTCATACATTCATTTATATAGCCTCCTGATGAGTCGGTGAAACTCCGACGAAACAGTTTGTCACAGCCCCTCGTTTGTTGTCCTCTGCTCTCTCTCTGCCTACGGTTTACCGGGCAGTTCTGTTTGTGACGATATATATATATAATATAATATATTTATATACATGCTGACGGTTTACCAGGCAGCTCTGTTTGATGATATATACATACTGAAAAAAAAAAAAAGAAAAAAAAACTCTTTCAATTTTCAAACTGAAAAAAAGGCACTCTTTCCATTTGGCTTTCCAAAAAGTCAAACAACAAAATCATTTTTTTTTCGATCAATGCATCTGGGTGGAAAAGGTGTTTGTTGTTTTGTGATCAACTACCATCATGCACGTGCACACACACGCAAATGCCACCCGCTCTACACATATTCCTCTGTTGTTTTCTCTCTCATTCTTTGCATTTTTTTTTTTTTTCCATGTTGTACATTGTTCAACGATTGAAAACAAAAAATAAAAGAGACAACAATTCATCGCACGGTGACGAACTCTGACATGTCAGCAATCTGCTGTTTAAGAGCATTGCCACACCACTCTCGAAATGTACAAAATGAGAATGAACTTCCCGCTAGAAGACGGCCACATGCACCCGCCACATTTCTGTCTTTTCAACACTTCGAGAGTGGTGTGGCAAGGCCGTAAATTTGTGTTTTCAACTTTTCACTCTCTCTTTCGTGAACTACTGTCATCCTATTTCATTCTCCTCCCATGTTTCGTTGTTGCTGCCATGTTGGTGGGGATGTTGGTGGGGACCACAGGGTGTTCACGCTCGGGGAGGACCTACGACTGTCGACAACAAGATAACATTGTCCAATCTTGCCGACCGGAGCCCGTCGGACATTCGAGGAAGAAAAATGTGATACACTTCATACGACAGCGAAGACGCCAAGCCTCGGGCCACCTACCTCGTCGGCGGCGCCTAACAGTGAGATGTCACTCGGGTCTCAAGCTGGAATTTTTTTAATTGAATTTAATTCCACGTTATATCATCTTTTAGTTGAATCAACTTGAATGTGACTTTAAAGTTTAAAGTTTAAATCACCAGTACCTCCACGATTTGAGGCCGTTAACGGGGTGACTCCATCGGTGCGCTGCGCAGGTCCATGGTGCACAAAAACTCATTGTAACAAGTCTTTGTTTTTTTTTTTTGTTTTTTTAGATTTGTTCTTTTTTTTTTTTTTTTTAATGCCACAATTTGGACAGATAGAAGTATATTTGGTTTTCGTCCCACGCAGTTGACGACGTCTGGATTGTCGATCCGAGACTGACTGTATGCGCCCATGTCCCAGTGTCCCCATGGTACCCCTGTTTACAATATTTTACGAGTCTTTTGAAATATTTAATATTTTTCAATTTTTTCCTTTGGATGAAATTTAGTTCAGGCCACGAATCACGTCCGACGCCAGGTCTCCCGCAATGTGACTGTGTCTAGTACTGTCTACCGAATCTGGCTGTTATTACGATCATATACGTCCAAGGTCACCCTAGCGAACATAGAAGGAAAAAGCGTCGCGTCGCAGTAAATGAAATTGCAAACTCTTGGAACGAGGAGGAGGGAATTGAGGAAGAACCGTCGATGAAATTTTTCATCGCAAACTCTTGGAAGAACGATAGGGAGCTTTCTATTTTTTTTTTTTTTTTTTTCCTTTGGGAGAAATTTCTCAAGCAGGGAACATAGCAGTAGAAGTCTAGTTGAAGTTTTTTTAACTCTTTTTTTTTTTTTTTTTTCAAGCAAAATAGAAGTTCAACTTACAATAGCGTTTTTTTTAACTTTTTTTTTTCCAAGCAAAAAATAGAAGTTCAACTTACAATAGCCCACTAGCTTGATTTACATTTTCTTTTGCCCTTAATAAAAAATATTTTAATTTCCTCCTTGTCCTTTTTGTTGCCACCAAACTTGACGAATCCAAATCAATGTTGCAATGCAGACCAAACATGCATCATCCTCATCACAAGGTGTGAAGGGGCTTGGCGCTACACACAGGAAGAATGCGCCAGGTCCAGACCATGCACAAAGGAAGAGGAGGGGATCGAACGAGGAAGAAGGGGGAAGATAAGAATGACGTCAACACCAAGTCTTCGTCACAATTCCCAGATAATCCCTCGTCAAATGTCTGAAGCCCAATGTCGAGTCTGGATCCTAATGACACCAAGAAGTTTATGGACTCTCTCTCTCTCTCTCTCTCTCCCTCTTGCTCGCTCGCTCGTGCGCCTGCTTTTTTTTCTTTTATTAAAGAAAAAGGTCTCGATGGACCACGGAGCAGCTATGAAACTGAACAGAGCAGTTAAAACGCTTGATCGTATGGGGGGGTAGGATCGGATATGAAACTGATCGAAACAGATACTACACTTTGTCATGTGGGGGTGGGGGGGTCTCTCTCTCTCTCTCTCTCTCTCTCTCTCTCCCCCTCCCTCCCACGGGCACGGCGTTTTCCTTTTTTTTTTCCGATGGTCTCGCGCACCCTTGATGGTTGTTGTTTTCCGTTTCTTTCTTTTTGGGTCGTGATGGACCGCAGATCAGATACGAAACTGATTGGTGCTGATAATACACTTGACAGCAGGTCATAGGTTGTCTCTCTCTCTCTCTCTCTCTCTCTCTCTCTCTCTCTCTCTCTCACACACACACACACACACACACACACGCACGAGCGGACACTACGCACTCTCTCTCTCTCTCATAGTTCCAAGACCACAAAAAATGAAAGCAAGAGACACAAATAACAAACTCACCGTCAGTCGTCAAGGTGCGGTCATTCGAAAGCCTTGCCGCTGCACAGCTCAAGCCTCAGCGTCCAACATTCAGAATGTAGAGATGGTGTCCTCGGTGAGTGTGTGTGAGTGTGTGTTTGTGTGTGTGCGAGTCTGCGCATGTGTGAGTGTTGTTATGTTCGCTATACAGAACTCACAATATGACTTAGCCAGACTGTTTCGTCGGACTTCCACCGACTCATCAGGAGGTTGAACCTCGACAGTCCACCCAAGATGAACTGTACGGATGGCCAAGGACTCGCCACTTTTGCATGTGCGTGTGTGTGTGTGTGTGTGAGTGTGTGCGTCCGTGCGTGCGTGTGTGTGCGTGCACGTGCGTGTGTGCGTGTGCGTGTGCGGGTGCACGTGTGTCCAACGTAGAGCGAAGTTGTAGTCGTTCATAGCAGCGTAGAAGTCAGTCCAGTAGCTTGAGTGTCGAAAACAGGCGTCGATCCTAGACTAGTGTAGCGTAGCTCAGTCGAGTAGCTTTGTCGAACAGGCATTGAGCGTCCAGTATACCTGCCCTCGGGCACGCGCACTGCCCAAAGTGGTTTCTATACGTTGTAGCGGTGCTGGACTGGTAGCGCGCCACGCGCTACCAGGGTACCGCATGCGGTAGGGCCGGTAACACGATTTGGTACCGGCACTGGCGCATGGGCCCAGTACAGGCCCTGGCGCAGAGCCGCCCGCGATGGTTCAACTTCTAAGAGCAAACGATCAACAGACGATCGGGACCGTCGCGGAGTGTAAAATCGCAGGGCCCCGATCGTCTGAATGTCACAGGCCAAAAATTAGCGATAGTTATATACGTAGGGATTTTCAGTCTTTTCGCTTTCATGCTCATGCTACGTGTGGTCGCTGCCAGATTAGGAGACCTCTCGATTCTCTACATAAGCCCTTCTCTGATACCCTGTCGACTCAAACTCGTGCTATAGAATTGTTCGAGCGAATCTACTCCATACCATAGAGTCATAGACAAAGATACAATCTGAGTCGTTTTTTTTTTTTTTTGGTGTCTATTACACTATTACTGTCACATTATATCGGTCCACACAACCTTCCCGCCGTCCCACAACGGGGGTTCCGTGTCCCGCGTCCCGCGTCTCACGTCCCGACAAGAGAGCAATAGTATATACTTCTGTAAATACTGTATATGATTGACATGGCCCACCAGTGCTACCTTCCTACCTCAAAGCAACGGACCTGGTCATCTTCAGGGCAAAGTTCATGCTTCATTAGCGTGAGCCTACGTACAGCACATCGGCGCAGGAAAGAAACAGGTGGGAGAGAAAGGGAGAACAGATTAGGTAGATTGGAAGCTAAGTATTTCCATTTGACTCAACGGGGGAATTGTAACCTAGGCTACCAGCCAGGCCGCCCGGGTCACCCTATTTTCCCGGGCGGCCCGGCCGTGCAAGGGACTAGGCAAGGTCCCAGCCAAATAATAAATAAATAAAAAACCAAAAATCCAAAAAATCCGAAAACAAGTTTAACAAACTATATTATGCAGAAAAATAAACTGAACGACTTTTGCCTCAGGGTCGCATCGAAATTCTTTACCATCCAGCGGCCTAGCTCAGTTGGTAAGGCTCGCAAGTGGCATTCAGGAGGGGTCATGGGTTCAATCCCCATTGGCCTCACGTACCTTCCTGGGCTTACTTGGCACCCGCTACCCAAGAGATAGACCGCTGGATCCCCCGATCGGCATCAAGCAGAGTCTGCTACGTTCGTAGGGGAGGGGCCTGAGGGGAGGCACGGGGGATTGGTCCGCTTTATCCCTGGTGCTACCGGCCGTCCCCTGGCCGGTATCCTGCAGGCTCGAGGGGCCGTAAAAACATGGCTCTGGTATGCTACGGGTTTCCCCGTATGCCTATAGGTAGGAGTAGTGGTAGGTAGGTAGTATGAGGAAAAATTGAGAGAAGAGTATAGTTAAAAAAAATAAAAAAAACAGAAATATATATTTTTAATTATTTTTTTATTTCTTTTTGGCCCGGCCGGGCAAGTGGGGACCCGGGCCACTCTGGTAGCCTAGCTTTTAACATTAAATCGGGTAAAATCCTTCCAAAAAGTCATCGAAGGCCAGATCCATATCCTGTGCCCCCGTAGTACCTACCTTTCTAACACCCCCCCCCGCTCTCTCTCTCTCTCTCTCTCTCTCTCTCTCTCAGGTGTGTGTGCACATCTCCACATGTAGGATGCTTTACTGCACTTTATGTCGATCTGCAATTTTGTGTATTTGAAGAACGAATCTCTCTCTCTCTCTCTCTCTTTCACACACACACACACACACACACACACACACACACACACACACACATGCTTTTTTTCGCTTTTTTTTTAGTGTATAGTGAATATGACAACACACACACACACACACACACACACCCCACCACACAGTCGTGCTTTTTTTGAGTGTATAGCGAATATGACAAGACACACGCACAAGAGGTGTGTGCAAACCTATGCGCATGTAAAATGATTCACTACAATTTAATTGATGTGCACAGTTGCCCAAGAAATAAGCAGAGTTCAAGACGGCACAGCCTCTGAGAATGTTGAACTTGGGAAAGGAAAATACCTCATTGCAAGGGAGAGCACATTCAACAGTCAAAAGTCAAACTCGCAACCACCTTTCGTTCTCACTTGCTTTCTCCTTCTCTCTTCTCTGAAGTTCTCTTCCCTTGTCAGCTCCATTGGGCGCGCCGTAAACTCGTCTGGTCTGATCGCACCGGCAAAAAAAAAAAGAGTCGAAAGCACGTCTCAACCGGGCGCCAGAAGAGAGCCATTAAGGGCTTGAAAGCTATACAGGCTTTTTTTTTTTCCCGAGGCTCACATACGATGCCAAAACCTTGGAAGGAGGCCCTGGGGATCGGTGGTGCCACGAAAAGACCTCATACTCTTCGACGGGAAGGGAGAGTCCCAAAAGAACACATCGGTCCCAGGAAGGTTCCAGAAAACGGTCCCAGCCTCCCAGAAAGGCGCTAAGAGGTGGTGGTCCCAAAGAGGCGGCAAACGCTAGCCACAACTTCTGACAGACGGGGCTTCAAGCCGTCAAGCACTTCTGGACTTGTTGAACAATGCATTTACAAACACCCAGTGTTCCTCCCATCCAGCATTCCGAACACCAACGAGAAGTCCACTGCAATTTTGTGAGCATTAAAATGGAATCATTGAAACAGGCTGTCACTCTCAAAGACATCCAACTTGATCCAAGAACTTGTGTTCTGAAATTGAAACTATCTATCATAGATCAACGTCTGCGTTGCAGCTCCACGGACACATGGAAAACACAATACACACACACACACACACACACACACACACACACACACACACACACACACACACATCAGCTGATCAGTAGCATTCTCTCTCTCTCTCTCTCTCTCTCTCTCTCTCGCTTTCGCTTTCGCTCTCGCTCTCTCTCTCTCCCCCTCCCAAACTCTCTCTCACACACACACACACAACGCACGCACAGACACACGAGTGAGAGCGCACACAAAACACGCACACACACACTTGTGGTCGGTCACACACACAATATACACATTCTGTCTGAAGAAGCTCAGTGCGGAAGTAAACATCCGGTGCTCCAAGCGTAAAGCACAAGCTTCCCCCACCATCCCTCCTGGTAAAGAGGGTATCGACCATGGTCTCCACCCTCCTAAAGAAGAAACCTGCCGATGAAAACTTTGAGCCTCCTGTCTGCGATAACACACAAGTTTCGATATTTCCTGCCTTGTCCGGACAGACAAGAGTCCACTTGTGTTGTCGCACCGCACTCTCAACCTGGCCAGACTTTGCAAAAATTCGACTTAGAGAAAAAAGGAACAAAGAAGAGGACCTGTCAACTGTAGGAACAAGTCGCACGAGAGCACACAACGCGTAGCCGCCACCTTGCTGGTGCCGCTGCCGCTGCCGCCGCTGCCACTGCCGCCTCTGCCGCTGCCGCCGCTGCCGCTATGTGAGGACTAGATCTGCAACGACACAGACTCCATCCATGCAAGTTTGACGATGCCAACACTTTTTTTCTTTTTCCGTTCATCATCAAGTTGCATCTGGATTCGAACTCAGATCTGTATGTCAGCAATTCATGGACGCACCAATCGAGTCAGGTGCGGTCTCGCAGATGCCGTGCTAATTTCTTTTGCGTATCAGGAAGCAACACAGAATTTTAGACTGTTAAAAAGAAAAGAAAAGCACATGATCCAAGAGATTCAGATTTTCCCAAGACTAGCCATTCAGACACAAACAAACAAACACCACAAGCACAACAAACAAACAAACACAACAAACAAGCACAACAAACAAACAAACAAACAAACAGACCAAAAGGAAAAACAGACAAATTCTTAAGCCGTACAAACTTAACACCCCGTATCGAACTACATCATCACCAATGTGACCACACCGTCAAATGATCAGACACCTACTGGTCGATACGGATGTGAAGACTTCCCGAAAATGACACTTGAAGGCCAGGCTTGGCAGTCCGCAATGAGATTCGCAATCACGCTCCTTACTCTACCCCATCCTTCAGTCAGAGCAAAGCGTCAAAAGAGAGAGGGATGGGTAAATACTAAAAAGTGAGGACGGAATGTTATTAGGGCAAATGGGTGACAACAAGGGGGGCAGCACAGTGACGAGCGGCCAACGGGGCATCAGATAGATTGGTTGGGGGGGGGGGGNGGGAGGGGGAGGAGCAAGGGGATGACGCCAACCGGTGGCGATGGAGACCCTTGATCAGTAAAAGCCGATAGAACAGCATCAGGTAAGCGGAGGCACAGGGGCAACAGAAGAGCAAGGAGATGGGGGCAAATGGAGCAGGTGAGGGGAGGCCAGCTGTCATGGAAGAAGGAAGTCAATTGGAAAACAGGTGAGGTACAATCGACAAAGGGATGTGATGCCGACGGACGAGGAGGAGGAACAAGGAGGAGCAAGGAGGAGGAGGAGGAGGGAGGTGTGATAGTCGAAGCAAGAGGTGCTCAAGAAGGCGCTTAGGGGGAGATAAAACAGACAAGGAAAGATCATGCACTGCTAGGGCACAAAAACATAGTTCTTCGCACATAGGCTATCAGCTGATTGTGCCCATCTTTCAAGTCTAAAGTAAAGAGTCGTAAGACGAGGACGAGCGTACAACGCTGTACACTGTTGATATGCTCGGTGTGACTGGATTATCGGCCGGCCGCGTGGACCTTCAACAGTTAAAAAGGCGTCGCACTCGCACATGCCGAATGGCAGAGGCAAATGCTTGGTCTCCTCACAGACCAACACTGCGGTATGAGGTAGTTCAGTAAATTCGTGCGAGAAGACTATGTACGAACACGAAGATTCAAACTCCGTGGCGATGGGAAGAGGAGTATAGGAGTACGCGAAGGACAACGCCAGAAGAAAAGGAGAGCTGTTGCGAAGGTTTAGGGTTAGGGTTTAGGGTTTAGAGCTTCAGGGTTTAGGGTTTAGAATACCCTGAGCAACAAAGGTTTAGGGTTTATGATTTAGATCTTCAGGGTTTAGGGTTTAGAATACCCTGAAGGGTAACCAAGGTTGAGGGTTAGGGTTTAGATCTGCAGGATTTAGGGTTTAGAATACCCTGAGCAACAAAGGTTTAGGGTTTAGGGTTTAGGGTGTAGAACTCCAGGGTTTAGGGTTTAGAAGTTTAGGGTTTAGAAGTTTAGGGTTTAGGGCTTAGGACTTCAGGGTTTTAGTGGTACACAAAAATCAATGGAAAAGAACATTGAATGAGACGGATAGCTAACGCAGCTACTATTCTACGAATCCCTGTCACGCCCGTGGTTGTGTGTGCAAACAAACACATCCTTGCGTGTGCGCGGTTTGCATTGTGCCTCAACTCCACAGCAACATTTGTGTCCGGGCGTTGCCATATTCGCGACACACAACTCCACAAGCGAAGGATGACTGCCACAGGCCGGTTTTCATTGGGCTTTCGCTGATTCATGGCAGGGTTATAAGTTATAACAGTTCAGCCCAACAGTCTTCCCAGGATGCATTTGACTGATGGATACGAGGATTCGCCACGTTACCCTGAGTGTTCGATCCTAGCAGACCGCCAGTGCAACCCTGAGACAAGCGGTTGAACCGTTGACTTGTTCGCTCATGCCAAGTGCCCGATCCTAGCAGAGACCGCCAGGGCACCCCGCCCTGACAAGAATGACTAAGTCCAAGAGAAGAAACTACTCGGTGACAGCTATAAAACCCAAATTAAAGTTGAAAACACCAACTCGGCCACGGAGATCGACGATCATGTGGGTAATACTGTGTAGGACTTTTTCAGAAGAAGAAGAAGAAGAGAAAGTATAACCTACAAGTATCAACAACCAGATAGCACCAGTCGCCTCAAGCAACAAAAGCTGGTGAGTGCAAGGCTGGCCATGTTGACGTCCTTTGCCAAACGCCCCCGACAGCAAAGCCGCCCATGTTGAGCGTTGTCATGTTTCGCTATACACGACTCCACACAAAAAAAGATGCACGACTGTACCGAACAGACTGTTTCGTCGGACTTCCACCAACTCATCAGGAGGTTGAACCTGGACAGACAATCTGCCCAGGATGCATTTGAGTTGATGGATAAGCACTCGGCACCATGTGACCCAGGGTTAGAAATACCCCTGAGAAACGTAGGCAACTTAACTCACGCCAAGCCCGCCACCCAAGCAGCAGACTGTTAGTTCAAGCTGCTGACAAGAACAGCAGCAAGTCCGAGAAGATGTGCGCGCGCGTGTAGGGCCCTCCTTAACTCTGATTGAATGCTGGTATCACGTGAGGCGAAACCGATGCCACATGTGGAATTTTCAATCAAATGCGCAAATGACACGGATGAAGTCGGGAAGAGTTGATGCCATATCCCATGGCGAAGGGCATAACGTTCACAAAATGTTCACGCTCCTGACAAGAACAGCAGTAAGTTCGAGAAAATGTGTGACACTGTGTGACACTGTGTGTGACATTGTGTGTGACACCTGTGCGTGACACTTGTGTGCGACACGTGTGTGACACGTGTCCGTGTGACACTGTGTTTGTGACAGTGTGTGTTACAACATGTCACCACAAGAACGCCTTTCCCACCCAGACTACTACATTCGAAACTGAAACAGCTTTACCTTAGAATCTTCTATCGCAAACGACATGAAGTTCCCCTATGGAAACGGTTATACTGCCTTTTCCTTGTGCAGTTCTTCCTTCGCTTTCCATAGCAGCTCCCCTTTCCACTGTGCGTCTCACGTACAAGGCTCGCCACGTTGATTGTGGTTGAGTGCGAGCTGCCCACATCCCCGCGTGCAGTGTAACGGCCCCCTACTTGCACGCTATGATAAGGCGGCAGAGTAAGGGGGGAGGGGAGGGGTGTATTTTGCCTGTGCTCTGCACGATGCTCAGTCATAGGCCTTTAATAGGTCTGTACGCCCTGTACGGTGGCAGGGAGAAAGGGAAGGGGAGAGAGACAGGAGGAAGAAGAAACAGAACGGGGGAAAAGCGAACTTCGCAGCGCTCTGACTTCTTAGTATTAAGCGTCAGAGAAGACGGCTACAGAATGTCACAAGAGGCCAGAAAGTATTTGGGTTGGCGAGAAAACAAAGCTGAGGGGTGTCATGGTAAGCGGCCACCCCCTGCAGACCAGACGGGATCAGTTCGGGGGTGAACTGTGGAAACACCACATCCAGTTCTCGCAGTTGCAGGCGCTGCATCAAATGGACAATGACAAAGAGGTGGTAGTAGAGGAAGAGGAGAAAAAGAAGAGAAAGCAGTAGAGAGAGAGAGAGGATAATGTAGTAGATGGAGGTGAGCTGGTGTAGGAGGCACGGGATCAGAAGGGGAGAATCAGTGGACAGCGGGCGGCAAACGAATAGCCCTGCGCTCAGCTCGACTACTTTCCGATCTCTTTCTACTGGGTAGGGTTGGGCTGCAGTCGCTCTTCAGTCTGCTGGGGATGATAGCCTGCACCCTAATGTGGCCCCACAGACCGAATGATTACAGACCAGTCCTACAGGTGACCCACAAGAAAGAGATCCCCGCATAACAGGGATGAGCACAGGGCTAATCGATTGCCGCCAACTGTCTCCACTGATTTCCCCACTGCTCATCCTTCCACCCCCCGCCCCCCATCCCTACCACCACCAGCCACCTCACCTGCATCTCTCTTACCATACATCCTCTCCATTTACTGCCTCGTCTTCCTCTACGTCCTCCTTGGCATCATCGTTCGCATCATCAGCACGTGCATGGTCATGTGTGTGTGCCTGTGCATGTGTGCGTTGCATTTGTACGTATGGAAGAGTGAGGACGGGTGGGGGGGGGGGGAGTGTACTGTAAAGGGGCTTGTAATGCGGACATGTTGTTCATGCCATGCCACCGGTGCCGGAATCCCCGTTCGAATCCCTCTCCTGATTCTCATGTTTTGTTTCTGACGTCATAGGTGAAGAATTTCCAAAATTCTGAAGATCCAACTTCAGGAAAAGAGCAAGGTTCACAAGGCCCGTAAGCGTGAGCCTGCCTTGAGTTCGTCGTCTGTTTCGTTAGGTGCTACGATTTCGTTATCGTTGTGTCATTCATTGAAACTGAACCCCCCACCAAAAAAAAAAAACTTACCACGTCATCGTCCGTGGCTTGTCTACTGTCCTTCAGACAAACCCTAAACAATGATGGTTTTTTTTTTTTTTTTTTTTTTAGTTTAACTCAGGTCAGTTTCAATTAATGACATAACGGAATAAAATAGCCTCAAATGGAACAGACGACGAACAAAATAAAATAGACCCAAGGCACTCCCACACTTATGGGCCTTATAGACCTCGCTCTTTTCCTGAAAGTCGATCTTCAGAATTTTGGAAATTCTTCACCTGTAATGTCAGAAGACTCGGAAACAAAAATATGAGAATCAGGAAATGGATTCGAACGGGGATTTCTGTGCCGGTGGACATGGCACAAACAACATCTCCTCCTCACGATCCCCTTTACGGGAGCCGATCCAAGTGTGCCCGAGTGGGTGTGGACGTTTATCTGATCAGGCTATCATGGTTGTGTGAGAGGAGGGAGGGAGGGAGGGAGGGAGGGACGGACATACGGAGGGAGGTAACGAGTGAGGGATGTGGGAACCCCTTAGACGCTTCAATACAATGCAGGGAAGAGCAGCAGTGAGGAATACAATCACAGACAAATGCCCTTGTACACACTGAAGAAGTACAATGGGCTCCGCAGAACCGGCCTGCGGGGAACTGAACTCTGATTGAAAGCTGGTATCGAGTGCGGCAAAAAGCCGATGCCACACATTTGGAATTTTTGATAAAATGCACATCTGAGGAGGAGGAAGCAGGGAAGAGTTGATGCATTTCCTATGGCAAAGGGCATCATAACGGTCACACAACGTTCACACAACGTTCACACAACGTTCACACAACGTTCAAAGATCATCAAATCGCGCCTGCCAGTCTGTAACATCTCCTGTTCATGCCCTCGTGCTATCCGTTCTGTTGTATGAAAGAAATCGAAATAATATGTATGTAAGAGTTTTGTGACTTTTGTCATAACTATAAATTCTATAAAATACTATTCATATCAGTTTAGCTATTTGGAAATAATGAGAATGTTATTGTGTTTTCAAATTCGAATATATATTATATACTTTTAGTAATGTAATAGTTTTGTAATAACGATTCATATCCGTTTAGCTATTGAGGATGTTATTTTGTGCTCAAGCTATTGAACTTCAAAATTCAAATATGAATATTTTTAATGTGTCATCAAACAGAGCTGCCGACGGTAAAGCGTAGGCAGAGAGGGAGAAGGGAGGAGAGGACAACAAATGAGGGGCTGTGACAGACAGACTGTTTCGTCGGAGTTTCACCGACTCACATTCGGAACCCTATCAGTATATGATGAAGTACAGTCACGTACATAGTACATAGTATAATGGAATACACCCTATGAGAAATGAGAAATGAAGGAAGGAAAACGAAAAAAAAAAAAAAAAAAAAAAAAAAAAA